AAGAAATGTATACGACTTAATGGACCGAAACATTTTTTACCTATAACAAATATTTCTTTAGACCCCTTCCCCATTTTATTATCCTTCTCCTCCTTTTCATTGTTTCCTTCCTCTCCTGATATTTTCTTTTCAACCTTTTTTAGTTTATTAGTAAATGTGTGTGTTGGGAACATTTTGAAATATTACCTTTGCGCTTAGAAGCAATACCACACCGTAATGGCCCATAACTGCTATAGCTTTCGATAGGGATGATCTGCCTTACTCTCTACGCAAACCATTTTTCCCCGAAAGCAAACACGCATTCATTTTGGTCATTTAAAAAAAAAAAAAACCCCCCCTCTCAGAAATGCACCTGTGACAAGCAGCAATCCGGTCTTTTTTAGCTGCTTCAAGAAGATAACGCGTTTGCCCTTGTGACGTCCAGCAAGTATGATCAGTACCGTGCCCGGAGTAATCGATGACCGCAGTGGCACCTTTTTTGCCGGCCTTCTTGCTCGTTTACGTACACTACCATTTCTCAGATATTTTGGCTGCAATGTTCACATATAACACTTTTCAATATCTTACTCGGTTTCTCCTAAACTGGTCGTTGCAAAAAATTCAAAAAAGAAGGAACATATCAATTAAACCGAAAAAATAAATTTTTTTTCCTGAAATTATACGCAGTCTGTTTTATCCCTTAGCTGTAAAACACCGACTGACCTTTGCGTGCAGCTACGAGCGGGAATCATCAGTGCAGCTTCCTAACCGCCATGTTCTGAACAATATGCAAGACTGATATGCGAAAGAAAGAGAAATCAATGCGAGAGCAAACAGAAGTAAGCACAGTTAAAGATACTTGTCGAGGCTTTTCTAGGATGGTGCCTATGTGGTACGCAGCACTGCCTCAACCCGATAAAGATCCGTTATGCTTTAGCTTTCTTCGACGAATGACCCGAATCATTTGCGAAATTCAAATCATTGCTTTTTGAAAGCACTCGCACAAATTTCATTTCTTAATATACAGATATTCCGACCAGCTCTTCTAACATCGTGTCAGGCGGCCTAGTTAGTTAAATCACAGCAAAACCATACAGAAAACACGCCTGTCAGTTGAACAACGTGGAAATTCAGTTCATATTTTTGAAGACGTATATCATGTATGCGGGAAACAAACCCGCCCTACCCTATTTGGTAAAAAAGTCTTGCTGGATTTTACAAAGTCTTACTAGTCGGTGGCACAGTCAATTCCCAAAAAACAGACCAAATTCCTACTCTCTCCCTCCTCCCCTCTCGATAGTCTTGTATCTCTAAGTGCTTTAACATAGAACTTTCCAACCAAATTTCTCTTTTTCATGCCTCTTGTGCTGTGCAACAGCTAAAAATAACGCATACTGTCTCATCCCTGCTTTTGTGCGTGTGTGTGTGTGTATGTGTGTCCAAGTGCATTTTGTCCGCACTTTTCAACTCGAGCACTACAAAAGCTAAGAAGCCGAAATTTTGGGAGAATATTTTTCGCCCATTTACGAGTCCACAAATTTAATTTCAACCTTCCGTTACGTCAGTGTCTCACATACAGTCACATTGAAGTTTTGGCGTCAAAATTAATAACTTAGGAACCAAAGAAGCTAGGAGACTGAAGTCTGGGGGCTATATCCTCTACTCGCGCTTGACCTCCTAGCTTAAATTCACTGCCGCGTACGCCTAAATACCATTTACAGTCACGTGAAAGTTTTTAGCTCAAAAACTGATAACTCAGGGAGCACAAAAGCTAGTACGCTGAAATCTTATATCAGTGTATTCCACCCATGTGCGATCCTTCACGCACGCCTAGATCTCTTGTGAGGACAAGTGACTCTGGGATTACAAAAGCTCGAAATCTCAAATTTTTAAGATAATGTACGATTTCAAAAAATTAAGTTCAGCTCTCATTTATGCCTGAACGCCATGTACGGACGGGCACGTAAGCATTTTGGCGTGAAACTTTCCGCCAGGCAAGAGAGAAGGTTAAAAATTTAGTACGACAGTATACAACTGCTGCATTTCAAAAATCCTGCCTCTGTTACGCTCATGTTTCAGGTACCGACAGCTGAAATTTTAGACAAAAAAAATGAACAAAAAAGAAAAAAAAACAGATAAAGTGAAAATTCCTGTTCATCTACGAACCTACAAATTTAAAGCCGGCTCTCATGAGCATTCACGGACGCATGGAATTTTGAACCCTCCCCACCCCCCCTCTCTGTAGGTTAGTTTTACTAAGATAACCGAGGTTTTGCGCCAAACGAGTGCACATACCCCTTTGTTGAAGTACACTTTACGCTCTTGGCCATTTTTGTCGCCTCCGACCGGTTTCACAATGAATCTCGGCTTACGCTCGATCTTCTTCTTGATTCTCGGGAACGGCTTCTTCGCATACGCTCCACGATTGGCGTACATGCGTGCAGCCGAGAAGCGCATCACGCCTGGTGCCACCTGGTAGTTGTGCCTCATCGATCCCTGTAACAGTACAGACAGCAGTACTCGCACACACCCAAATGGGCACGGCTCCCCTCCTTCACCTGTTAATTCCCATCCCTCGTGCCATGATTGCTCCAGTTCTCGCTATTTCGGTCATCCCTGTTCCTTTTTGGCACGATCGACCAAAACCCCCTGACTCTCCCTGGCTCGATATCCCCATCCTAACCAGCTCGCTCACTTCAAATCTTCGACTTCAAAGACAGACCCAGGGAGCGGGGAGGGCCCCCCCCCCCCC